GTCGTCAGGTTTTTTGATCGTCTCGAGTGGTAAGGGGCCTCACGCACGAACGGCACGACAACGTAATAGCCGCGCGGCTTATTCCCCATTTTTATTTCTCCGGCTCCGCCCTCCGGCCCGCCCGCCTAAAGGTGTCTCTAAGTGGCCGCGATTCATGTCAGTCGTCGAGCCTCACGCACGGGCACACCTCTCCCCTCCGCGGCGCTAGCAGTGGCCGACCCCGCCTCTCCCCCGGTGCGCCTAGACCTAGAGGCGGCCGCGCGCCATATAATCAAACAAACGCCGTATTACACGTTTTCTACACGATTAACCTCTCCTTTTTCTTACGTCCCTGAGCCACCCCTGCCGCCGCCACCCCTAGAGAGGCCTCCACGTGCAAGGGTTGTTCCACGTTCTGGGGGAGGAGGGGGGGGGGGCGCCTCACATTGAGACGTCCCGCAGCATGGCCCACTTCCGGGCGCCACTTTTTTCTTCCGGTCTATCCGACACTTCCGGTATCACTATCGGGAACGCCCATTGGCCTCTGCGCAACCATTCGCTCCTGCAGGCATAAGACACCGTCCTTTCCTCTCAAACTCGCCCCCACCCCCCACCAAAAAAAAAGTTTCGGTTTAGTTTTCTTCGATTTGTTATTTATGAAATCGTTTTCACACACAACTTTATTGCACTGTGTCGATCTTTTCTTCCCGCGCCCACTCTGATGTTTTTATGGCGCGGACACGCGGCCGACACTCTGTTGACAGCACGCTCCGACAGTCTGTGATCAGGAAGTTGCTCTGTAATCACCCTGTCGAGCATGTCCACCCATTGTCTTGTCACGTATCGACCTGCTGAGTTCCGTACACCGTCATTTGTTCTCATCGTATCCCACACACTAAATCTTAATGTACTCTGATGTCGTACTTTTTTAACAGACGAATGTGCAGATTAAAAGAAAAATCCAGATTGTACAACTTCGTACAGACACCATATACCATGCGTGCACAGAAAAGAAGATAGACATTATGTGAGCAGCCGTGAATTCCCAAACCCTTATTAAGAACAGCAAATAAGCAGTCGGTTAAAAGGGCACACGCGACTGTCATCACAGACGCGTCCTTGCCGGCTTATTCCCACCGACAACAAAACCTCTCCTTGGGAGCTATTCTTGTGTGTCCCCCAACGCGCTCCGCCCCTCAAACAGTTATGCCCACCAGCAGAGAGCACTGCGGCGCCACAGAGGGTGCGAGAGGAAGGGGGGAGGATAAAATAAAAATGTATAAGGGAGGGGTCGCAGTGAGAGGGGCCACGCCAGAGTATTGACATAAAAATTAGGTGTCATCGACTCTGCGGCGCTCTCCTTGGTTTTATGGGCCGTGAATTGGGCCCCGCATGGGAGAATCACGCGGGCTCCAGGAGGGGGGTAAGGGAGAGAGGGCTGGGGGGAGGGGGGGGGCTGCACAGAGTAAGGAAGGAGCGCGCGGCGTCCAGGTGTGGCGGTAGCGCCCCCGGCACCCGGCGCGGCAACACGCAGCACGTAAAGGAAAAAATATAAATATAAACGGCTAATGAGATAAACGATTTCGTGTTTCGTTCTTCTTGTTTTCAAAAAAGAAAAAAAAACGAGCAGTCCGTCCAGGGTCTGTTTGGGCCGCGGGGACAGCCTGTTGCGAACCCGCCCCCTCTTTTCACACACAGTCATCGGATTACTGTTTACCGACCATGTGGCGACGAGAGAGCGCGACTAAACGACGGGGGATAAAAAACGAAAAAGAGAAACACGAGTCGGAGTCGGCGAGGCTCAATTAGCACGCTGATGGACTGGGGACGGGCGGGGCCAGCCCGACCCGACGGGGATGAAAATAATCACGGAAAAATAATTACCGGCTCACGCGATGCGTCACCTGCTTATTTTCCAGGCGGTGCGGCCGCTCGGCGACGGACGCCGCGCCCTGAACATGCGTTTACGGCGAAGCAAAGTTCATTTCACCAAAGATTTTACAAGATGTTTACAACCACCTTTCACCACACACGCTCTAAATTGAGAGGGATTTTTCAAAGAGCAAATGTGTGCGTAAGATGTTTTTTGACCAAATGCAACACTGTAAACTGGTTGGCGTCTTGTGATGACAATAAGACGCCAAGATTTGGCGTTCCAATAGTAAATGACGCCTAATTCTGGCGTCGTTTGACGCCAAGATTTGGCGTCTTCCAAAAGGACGCCGAAAGTAGGCCTCAAAAGACGCAAAAGTTTGGTGCTCATCAGAGGACGTCAATATTTTGGCGACATGAGACTAGCCTTCAGTGAATCTTTGCATGCTGCTATTGACGAAGTAGCATGTCTCTCATCATGCAGAAACATAAACTTTGCCCAACGAATGAATTGGTAAAGGTTTCCAATTTGCAAATAAATTGTTCTCGCGACAAAAACTTAACTTCAAGATTTAAGGCGTAGGTTTTTTATCATTACCAAAATTTCTCGCATTATCGAGCGGACAATAATTATTTGCGTTTGGGTGGTGGGCAGGGGGGAGACCGTCAGTCCTCACGAGCCGAAGACAGAAGGAGGAGCCACCCGCGACGGGTCGGTCGGTCGGTCAAGGGTCTCTAAACATATCTCGGCTGGTGGGCCCAGCTCGGGGGGACCCCCGGGTGGTGCGGGGCCTGGCGGGGCCTGGCGGGGCCGCGGGGGAGCGACGCCTGTCACCCGCCGCGCCACCCTTCCCTCGGCCCGCAGTCACGCACCCCGCGCGCCGCTCCGCTCGGCACGCATGTCTGGCCCAGCAGTGCTTGTGCCTGTCGCATTTGTCGTAACCACTAAGCAATAATACCCCCCCGGTGGTGAGGGGTAGTGTCGCGGAGGCGGGGGCGGAGCGAGGCTAGGCGTGTTCGGCTGAACGGAGGGAGGGGGAGCCCCGGATGGAGGGGGTGGGGGTAGGGGGGATTACGTTTTCATTGACTTGGATATAGCTGTCGTGGAGCGGTGGCGGGGCGGCACGAGCCTAGCGTGCGCACGTATGGCCCCGGTGTTCCCAGTCTGTCTCGCTCGCACTCGCAACGGCCAGGGGCGGCTGGAAGGGCTGGAAGACAAGGACGGACGCAGAGACGGACGATAATAGTGCGCTGTTGAAATGGAAGGGAAGCGACTGGGAGAGCGAGTAGCTCTTTTTTGGGAAGGGATACTGATGGCCCTTTTAAAATGAAACAACGTGTGGTTTTCCCTACCTCACTTTTTGTATACAAAGTGAATCGCTGCTGTATCATGGATTGAGATCACGCGACACACAAATACAAACTTTCACGCCACGTGTGAAGTCGGTTTGTTTTCGCTTTTTAAAATGTACCGCACGCGCGTAACATTCAAAAGGAGCAAAAGCAAAAACATAATCTCGCGCGCCCGAAATGTGGGCATGGGCATGACGCTTTTTGTAAGTCGTAATAAGAACAGGATTGCACTACAACGAAGTCGTAACGGCGCCGTCTGTCCACTGGGATGCCTTTATATAAATAGCAGCCGCGCCCGCACGCCTTCGGGGGAATGAGATTTGTCCTCCCATCTCCGACAAATGACTGCTCATCAAATGTATGAGTGGCGCGCCTGGCGCGGTGTGGCTCGTGGGACCTGGCCCCTCTCCGCCCCCGGGCCGGGGTTGGCTCGGCCGGGGCTCGGCCGGGGCTCGCCCCTGCCGCCCATTGTCCCCACCGGTCCACGCCGCTTTTGTCGTCCTGCGGCGCGACCACCACCGTGACAAAGCCGACTTTTGAAACATCCCTCACCCTCGCCCACCGCTGCTCGCCCGATACACTGCACGCCCTGTGGGCCCCCAAACACACGAGACGGAAAACTTTTCAAAAAATTATATACGGAACATTGTGCAGAGCGGTGCAGAGAGCAGTGTCCCTCCTCCTGCTGTTCCGGGTCGGCGTGGGGATCCCGCCCCGCGCGCGCCACTCCCGACAAGCAGTGTCAGCCATTCAGCACCGAGGCTGCCCGCAGAAATCTCGCCGCCAGTCGTGAAATATTTGGGGCGGTTGGCACAAGCAGGCTGCTGCTGCTGCTTGCAACATGTGCTACTCAAGGAAGTGCGCGCAGCTTTGAGGCCCCGCGCCCCGCTCCGCCCCGCTCCGCCTAAAGGGGCACCCCCAGCGCCATCCATCTGCACACTCTACCCACTACCAATTATGCCGGGCCCCCTCCCCCACCCCTCCGGAGCCCAATCCGGCCCTCCCCACCACTAGCTGGCTTCCCTCGGCCATTACACACTAGTCCGCATACAGCACGGCTGGGAACAATCCAGCCGACACCTACTGCTGCTGCTGCTGCCACTGCTGCTGCCGCTACTGCTGCTATTAGCCCCACGCACCGGCCTCATATCGCTGAGGAGGATGAGGAGGGAGGAGCACCCGCCAGCCCGCACTGGGTCGATTCTTCCTACGACGACGTAGTGGCCTGGCCACCGCTGCCGCCGTCTTTTCAGACACCTGCGCTAGATTCTGCACTTGCAAACCAACTTAAAAATCAAGTCGTTTGGAAACGCATAATTGCAAAGGCAAGTCGTGCCTTTCCAAGGGTGCTCCGGCAATTTTCAGTTTAGTGTGCATCTAGAAAGGCACTTAAGAGTCCTAAAGGTGGTAAAAATGTGTGCCATTGTAAAAGGCCTAAACATTTAGTGCCTATTAAAGGTGAAACTTAGCACTTAATTTTCACTAGTGAAATCTTAAACGGTTCGGCTGCACACTTCCCAAGAGCATGACCAACAATACAGTTTGGAAATCGTTCGACAGAACACTTTTGAGCGCTTGCAAGTGCCCAACAACATTACCGAATGTACTTGGGAAGTGGTAAGTGTCCGACTCGCCTCGCAGTGGCGCACTCGGAAGTGTTTACCAGTTAAACACTTGATTTGCCAGCGAGCCCACCTGGGCCGAGCGGGCGACAAGATGACGCGGAGCAAACTACTACTTCCCATCCGGTTTGTGTTCCGGCAGCCAGTGTTTGGAGAAGAGCAGGATAAACTCACCGGCCCGTCACAGCGGCGGTGCCCGGCCCGGAAGCCTATGGGAGTGTGGCGCAAAGAGCCTCGTCCTGGAATGTAAAGATAACAAGGAAAGGGTTGGAAGATGACCACAAGCTATCTATCAAACAATTCATCGTCGATGATACCGTAACAGAAAGAATTAATACGGCGCCGAAAAAAAAACAAAAAAACCTGGAGGTTGTCGGGACATAAAAAAATGTCTTCTTCATTTTTTTAACGAAGTAGTACCGCCCCGTGGGGGTGGTGGAGACGCCGCCAAGGCGCTTTTTAAAAGCCCCTCTGCTCAGATAAATCATACACGTCAGGCCCCAGCGCCACGCCATGCCCCACCACGCCGCTACAGCGAGTGCTACAGCTGCCGCACAACAGGTACGCCACGGCCTTATCTCTGACGGGAGAGAGCGAGAGAGGGAGCGAGAGAGCGAGAGAGAGATCCCTAAATTACGCCCCCGGTGGTCCTTGTTTTCCGCGTGCTGCAAGGAGTAGAGGAGGAGATGAAAAACGCAGCGATAATTTATTCCGCGAGGGAAGCTGAGAATCTCACGCCAGATTTCTCATACACGCCCCGCCGGCGTCTCACACGCCTAATTCCCTCCAGGACATGAATTCCCCATATCAAATTATTAGAGCCCCCTTCCCTCTTCACCTCCGCGCCAAGCCCCGCGCGGGCGTGTCGACCCCGCTTTGAATTTACATGCGTGTATGAGATTCTGATATGATCCTCCTGCAACAAATTAACGCACAAAGATATATAAGGGCTGCTGGGCGATGGTGGTGGTGGTGTTGGTTGGGGGAGTAGGCAGTATCCTTGGAGTGACGTAGGATGCTTTTTGCTCCCTCCCTCACCCTTTTGTTGCGTCCAAACATGAAATATGAAGTCCTTGTATATCTTCGTTACAGGTGAGGTGCGCCTCCGCCGCCCCAACCCGGAATAATAAAATATCGACGTCAAAATAATACTACACGAAGAAAAATCTTTCATATGAGTTTTATCTGAACGCATCTTAACAGTCAAGAGCCAAAAACCGTGAGGAAAACGTTTTCATAACAACGCGCTATATTTTGTGAAACCAGGCGATCCGTTCGTTTCCCACGCGACCCCTCTCCTGCAGACGACGCGCCCCATTGTGGCCTAAGTGATCTTGTGTGTCTCCGCCGCGCAGGCAGACGGGCAGCGCTGCGCCAAACACTCGCCAGCAAAAAGGAGAAAACGAAGAGCGCGGGGCGTGGAAAAAAAGGGGGGAAAGAGCGTATACTTGAGCGCGGGAAAAATGAAAAGAGGAGAGGAGCGCAGCGCGGCGGCAGGGGAGGAAAAAAAGAGAAAATAGAAAATGACGCATGCGTCACGGAAACCGGGCTGCCCGGAGGTCGTTTGTTAAGCCGCGTGAGTTGACGACAGAGTTGTGCAAACAAGTGCCGCCACCTGCTGTGTGTCAACATCGCTCTCTCTTTTCATGGAAGAAAAACTCAAGGAGAGGTAAGGTGAGATGGCAGGAAAAGGGGGGGGGGGAGAACTCGGAGGTAGGTGAGGGGCGCTGGATTGGCCGGGCGGGGGATGAAGTGGCCCCGGTCCAGCGAGCCGCCGAGCCGCGCCTGCCGAAAGTCAAACACGCGTCTCCTCGCAGTAATTAGGACCGGCTCGGTGGGGCCGAGCCAGGCCGAGCCGCCTTCATTAGCTCTCATATCTTGGCGACCCAGCGGAGCGTGCTGCAGCACGGCGGCGGCTGCTCTTACCTCACCTCGTCAGCAGCAGCGCACTCGCACTAAATATTAGACAAGTGCCGTTCGAACACGGCCGCCGTATAGCCGTGTGGCTCCTTGCTCGAGGAGGAGGGTCCCCTACTCCTTCTTCAGCCGGCAGACCCCCCCCCCTCTCATCCCTCCTTCTGCCCGAACGAGGCGGGTTATCATCCCCAACTAAAACCTCCCGGTAAGCCTTTACTTCAGCACACCCTCCGTTTCTTCGCAACTCCTTCACGTCTCTCTTATCTCTCACCCTCTCTCTCCCGCCTGAGCCAAGGACGTGGACGCCTCGGTCTGTAGTTTTAGTGCTCGCTTTAAACCAGCACGTTTCGGATTAGCTCAATATTTACTGATGAAAATTGACTGCAAAAGGGTGGGGCGGGGAGATAGCGCGCGTATGAGTGTGCGCGGGCGAGTGAGACGCCTGCAGGGGGCTGTTGATGGGGCGCCAGAGGCGGAGCTTTACGTATGGCAGCAGTTACTTTCTGCAATCCCAGGTAAAACAAAACGGAGGAAAAGCGCTGACAACACTGTTATTCATGGAATGTGACGTCACATTCGTTTTAATGTAAATCGTGTCACATTCGTTAGAATATTGTGTCACATTCGTTTAAACGTGAATCTATGCTCAAATGCCCCCTGGATTAGCTGATTCACGTTAAAACGAATGTGACACAATATTCTAACGAATGTGACATGATTTACATTAAAACGAATGTGACGTCACATTCCTTGAATAACAGTGAAGACTAACAACCCTAGTGTGCGACATTCGTCGAAGACTGAGCGAGAATTAAATGTGAAGTAACCGCGACTGCTTGACACTGTTGCATGCAGTTGCAGCAGGTGAGAGAATGACCGTTCTCGCTCCTATGTTGGTAAGCAAATTACAGTTTTTTCCTATCGCACGTTTTACTGTTCGTTCAATTAAAAGAAAGCGAATGCTGATGCTCAGCCTGAAGTAAAGTTTACGACTGCCATTGACTTGGGATTCGAGTGTGGATAGGCGTAAAGGCGCTAAATATTTATCCGGTGCTAAGGCCTCCGGTGTGAACGCCCATAAGCAGTTACTTAAAGCCACAGCAACACGACCTAGCGGCGACGGTGGCGTAAATTCGTGGGGCGGTGATGCAGTGATGGTCTCTGCCGCGGCGCAACAGCCCATGACAATCCATCCCCCGTGGTCGAGCTTAAAAAAAGAAAAGACCGTGTTTTGTCTCCGTCGTTCTTATGGGGAGTGTCACTCCTCTAGCAGAGGCGGGGACCGCCCGCGAGCGAGTCACCAGCCCACGGAATGGCGCTGTAAAAATGCTAACAAGACATAGGAGAGTGCGGGAGAGAGAGGGAGAGAGAACGCGACAAGTGACTGGCAGTAAGACGGAGATGAAGGCACGCGCGCGCAAGACCAAGCAAGCCATAACCCTCAATGTCCACATAAACCTGACCGGAGCCCCCGCAGGCGGGGAAAAAAAGAAGGGTAATCGCATACACAGTTATCACTTGCGTAAATACGGTGCCGACAGGGAGGGGCTCGGCCAGGCGGGAGTCAGTCTAGGTGCGTGGCAGAAGGGCCACACAGCCACCCACATGTTGCCTCCGGCTTACACGTCCAACGAAATAGCAAAAAAAGTTATTCAAATTCAATGTATTCCGCTGATGGAATTTTTTGAAGGGAATTAAAATGCATCTGAGCTTTATGTTTTGACATAAAACTTTGGTACGAAATTCTCTGGGTCCATGTGCCGGTCTCGTTTTCTTTCTTTTTTTTTAAGGTCGGCTGGGGCCTTTATATTTATTTTAAGTTACGCAGTACGCATGCGGTTTTCACGGTCCCTTCGATTCTTTCTATTCCTTCGAAGCAAAAACAATCTCTTCCAATAGGAATAATTTACATCTCATTAATATGCACGAAAACATCTTCACTACAGGCGTTTCTTTTCTTTAAGCGTCGGTCGGGATTTAACATTTTCTTTCGCTCGGAGGCAGGGGGTGGTGCCGCGCCCTACGGAAGTTGTTTCCAAATCCAATCTGGGTGGGTAAGGCAGCCACGGAATCCGTCTGGACTCTCTCGAATATTCCTCCTGCTTTATTATAATTTTTTTCTGCGTTTGTGGGCACCTCCGTCTGATTACAACTCCCCTCTCGGTTTTGCCTAAAAGAATGCCAAGGTAAAGCTCGGGATCGCTTACGTCAGTCTCATGTACTGGCTGCTGCACCCCGCTCCACCCCACGGGAGCGGAGGACGGGGCGGAGCGGAGGGGTTGGGGAAGTTACAAGTCGGGGGCTCGCGCTGCTACAAAAGAATTATACAATGCAGACCAGAGAGAAATTTGTCGAGCAAAATCACAAAAATTTCATTTCCGGTGAGTGTCGCTTGCGTCCCGGCTCACTCACGTCGCCGTGTGGAAATAACAGTAACAGACCCCCCAGCAGTGGACAAGACTCAGGGGAGCATCAACATCAACCTCGACATCAACGGTCGATCATGCACAGAAAGTTACATTCTCGCTGCTGAGGCTCCAAACCGACTCCTCCGTTCCCTGCATTTTAACCTTTTCTTTTTTAAGGTCTCACCATACTAGACAAATCAAAGCGATGACGACGAAAATAACAACAGTTTGTTGCACTTCATCAAAACGTTTAGCAGCACTAACAGGCATACAGATTTGTTTTAATCTCCTACATACGAAATGATTAAGAACAGAATTAATAAACGTAGTAGACATCGTCACACAAAACGGCTAAAGTAGCCATAGCCAACCGTTTGTAACAGAGTACTGACGACGAGCCCCGGGTGGTCTGTCCGGGCGGCGCTGGGGCTGCGGACGAGGGAGGCATATGCACCGCACACTCTAAAGTGAGAAAGAATGAAGGCGCCGTGGGTCCGGCCGCTCCCCATCTGCGCCCAGGGCGGGCGTGGCGCGGCGGCCCGGGGGGTGCACGCACTAATCCTGCAATCCGTCAGGCGAGCCCCACCCAGCCTCACCACACCGCAGAGGAGAGGGCCCCTGGCTTTCTTATTTTCTTGTTTTCCATTTTAATACACGTTAAATTAAAACACCGCGGCCGGTGCGCGCCGACCACAAGCGGCTGCTCCTGCGGGGCGGAGCGCGGAGCGGGGCCTGATGCACCGCGTGAGGGGAAATTTTAATAAAGAGGGGCGCAGGTTCAAAGACAAAATACTGGAGAGCGTCGCGCCGGGCCGTGTACGCCTGCAGCCAGCGGGCTAGGCTAGGCACCCGGGCTGGTCCTGAGTCGGGCTCGCTTCCTTCCTCAGAAACATAGACTTCTGACAGCGCACACT